AAAATATTATTTTGGGGCACCTGGGTGGCTCAGTCAGTTAAGCATCTGCCTTTGGCTCAGGTCACGATCCCAGGGTCCTGGGATCAAGCCCCGCATTGGGCTCCCTGCTCAGCGGGGAGCCTGCTTCTCCCTCTCCCTCTGCCGCTTCCCTTGCTTGTGCTCTCTTCTCTCTCTCTCTCTCTCAAATAAATAAAATCTTTAAAAATAATGTTATTTAATAACCTACAAAGCTGTTCAAGGCATATGAATAGAACAAGAGCAAAAAATACATACACCAAATTTTAAGTGTTTAAAAAAAATTACGAGGGATTTTCATTTTGCTTTCCCCCCCTATTTTCCAAATTTTTATGCTGAACATATTACTTCAGTAATCCTTTTAAAAATTATTAAAACCCCAAATGAGGCAGTCTTTCGGACAGTGCCTCCATCTTACGGTCTGCTAAACGGAGAGGCTTTGTGTTCCCTTAAGAACCCGCCAGCTGTTAAGAGGAGGGCTTATATAGGCTTCTCAGGTTTCCTCTTTTCCCACACTATCAATGGAGCTAATTAAGTGGAGCCATCCCCTCACAGGAGTGGTCAGATTCCTGTTCTCTTAGCATGCCTGAAAATTCAGTTGACATCTATAATGCTGATCAGGGCAGGAAACCAAAAGAGAGATGCTTGGAGAAGGAGCTGGGTTCTCTCCCCTATACTGTTCAAAGCCGGGAGTAAAATCTTTCCAGAGGTTCCATCCCCTACCATATGGCTCTACATCTTCAGAATGAAGTGGGGCCACCAGAAGGCCCTCCAAGAATACCATCCTCCAGTGCAGTGGGGCCATAGCGGGGAGGGGGGGAAAACACCTGTTTTCTCTGTATTTAATTCGGGGTAAAAACACTCAATAATCTAACCCTTTAACAAACTGCATGGCTGTAACTTTGCTGCTTGAATCTTTCCTTAATAAGTATTTTCCTGGGTCTAAGGCCTTGGACAGAATGAACACCTGAATGGGGCAAAAGAGATCATAAGGTAAGTTGATAAGATACATTCCTGCTAAAATCCTAGAGCCATGATTAGAGTCCTGGCAGCATGTGCCCCTGCTGCATCACTCCAAGCCTGATGTCTGGAGAATGGAAGCTGAGCAGGTGTGTTTGAGGCTGAAAGTGCTCAAATGGTCCTTAAACGCTGCTCTAGAGGGGACCAGAATGTGGCCACTGAAGAGTGCCTATTCCCATGTGGTCTCTGAAAAATCCTCATTTTACTGGCATTACAATGTCAGCGTCCTCCCAGCGTATCTCCCTGGATGCTCTGATTCAAGCATGTACCCAGAGGGGCGCCTGGCTGGCTCAGTCAATGGAACTTGCTACTCTTGCTGTCGGGGTTTTGAGTTCAAGGAAACTAGAATTCATATTTATCTTTTTTTTTCTTTTAAGATATTACTTATTTATTTGCCAGAGAGACAGAGCCAGAGAGCACAAGTGGAGGGAATGGCAGAGAGAGAGGGAGAAGCAGGCTCTGCACCGAGCGGGGAGCCCGATGCAGGGCCTGATCCTAGGACCCTGGGATCATGAACTGAGCTGAAGGCAGACGCTTAACCATCTGAGCCACCCAGGCACCCCCCTTTTTTTAAGGTTTTATTTATTTATTTGAGAGTGAGCGAGACAGAGAGAAAGAGCAAAGCAGGGGGGAGGGGCAGAGGGCAAAGCAGACTCCCTGCTGAGCAGGGAGCTCAATGCGGGGCTCGATCCCAGGACCCTGGGATTATGACCTGAGCCACCCAGGCACCCTGAATTCATATTAATCTTATCATTTCCCCCACTAAATTAAGAATTTTATAGTCCGAAATGGTTTTGCTAAAGGAAGGGCCCCACCAGCGGTGAACTTATCAGGAGAATACTGTTCACATCCATGACAAGGAATACAAAGGTTCATATCCCTTTTCATATTAAATCTTCTTCCATTAAAATATTTTAAGGCCTAACATAATAGATGCCTCATCATACCCAGATGTCTTAACTTAGTTGATAAATTCATAGAGAGGAATGAATACCTTCTCTCCAGCACGGGTGTAGGTGAGGCTTGCTTCTGGCATTGTACCAAATCAGCTGCCGGCAGCCATCGTACGCACAGGAGTATTCGTCGTCCCCGATGCCGTAGCCTTCCTGGAGGGAGACAGGGCCCAGAAGATTAGCAAGCTCTGCCTGCTATGTTCTGGGAAAAGTGTCTTTCGTAACCATCAACCTGATGGCTGGAATTCGAAGCTTTTTGGATGAAGGGAGCCTATGGTTCTTGGAAGATACCAAAATTCTGACCTCAAGGCCTGGTTCTCTGTGACTAGATCATGACTTCACCACCAAATACCTCCCAAGTTTCACATGTGTTAGTTCACTGAATCTTCACTAACCCCTCTGAGGCTGGTGGCATTATACCCCACTTTAAGAGGAAATAAAGGCTCCGAGAGGTCAACCATGTTGCCAAGGACAAATCATTACTCAGAAAGTCAAGTCTGGATGCTGGAATCTTCTGATTCCAAGACTGGTGTGCTTTCCACTTCATTGTAGCTGGGCAAACATCTTTCTTGCATGTAGTAGACTTCACAACAACCACATGCTCAGAAATTTCAAAACTGGAGGCAAGAGAAAGGTTAGAGTGGATGATCAGCTAATAGTTATTCTGAGGTGGGCTTAACTGGAGCATCATATAGGTCCTTGGCAGCTTTTATTTTTTACTGCCTTTTAATTATTTCACAGTTATTTTATTGTTAAAAGAGTGGATGGGATCTTAAATTATTTTAAGTGCTTTTTTTTTTAAAAGATTTTATTAATTATTAATTGGCATTGTTCTCCAGACCCATGTACTTCTGACTTCATGGTGCCACAATCAAGCCCCACGCTTCCAGGTTTTAATTAAGGCCCAGTCAAAGAGGAGGCCCTTCATCAGGGTAAGTTCCCAATGAAAGCAAGAGCAGTCTGGGGTCTAGTTTTCTATCCTGGACAAGAATCTGACCTCTCTACTGGCCCCCTTCCTCCAGTTGTCTCTCCAGCAAGGAGTTTGGCAAAACGCTATGCACAATTCCAAGATGCTATACAGCCTCGCTGGAAGGGCCCCTTCCAAAACTATGCTTCTGGCAGGCAGGCTCAGTTTGGTTCACTTCTAAAACCTATCCTAGCACCTTACATATGGGAGACTATTGTTTAGATTAACAAAATAATCCAAGGGATTTTCCCAGTTCAAAGGGTAAAACTCCTATGTCCATAAGAATCCAGATCAAAACTGGATTAATTCCAAACAGCTTAAAACTGCAATAACACAAGAAAGCTGTTCAGGCTGGCATCTGAAGGGTATATATTGGCAAGAAATCAACATCTATAGGAAAGGGAGGAACCCCAGCCTCTGATACTCAAGTCGTGGTAGATGAATCCTGCTTCCTCTAGTGGGTTTCGTCTTCCCTCTTTACATGACTGCTTTCTATAACAAAAGATAAATGCTAAATATTGAAAACAAATGTGCCTACTAGTTACAAAGTAAAAGTCAAGTAAAAGAAGTCAAGCCAACATTTAGTATTTTATGAAAGGAAGAGAATTCCTACAAAGTTCTTACAGCTTAAATGCAAGGTAAAAGTCATCACGGGTTCCAATATAAAAACTGAGCCAGAGATGTGGCTGGCACCGGAGGAGGGCCTACAAAGACAAAGGACACAGCCAACCTCTAGGTGCAAACTTAAAACTCGAGGGGAAAAAAAAACCGAGGGGCGATTTCCCTTGTGTTTTCCTATTTCTGAACCGGGTTAGCAAACCCTTGTGTCGGATCTGGCAATATGTGGTTCATCCCGAGAAATGATCATTGTGCAAACCCATCTGGAAAATTTGCGTCCTCCACCCACTCGCCAAAAAACTGCTGTTGTCCCCATTTACACCGTTCTCTAGGGTACTCACGTGATTGAGAAATTTGCTGTCTCGTGTGGCCCAGCCGATCTGCATGACACCAGAAGTAATCACAGTGACTTCGTAGTACCACACCCCGGCATCCACACAAAAGGTGCAACGCACGCTTTCAAACGAGGAGGCATCACAGCGAGCCTGGCAAAACCAAAGCGTGCGACAGCCCACCGTCAATGCCTGAAGACCATGGAAGTTAAGTGACTGCCTAGAGGTGGAATGTCCTTTTCCTTATTAAAGCTTCTGGTGGACGGTCGTTTCCTTCTCTGTGCATCCTCAGTGATACGAAGTATAAAACAGAAGCACGCTCTCTCTTATAGTTTTATTCCTAGGGAGTTCTAACAGGGTTGGAAGGCCTCAAAGATGGCTGCAGTAAGCATTAACGGGGGCTACTGGCTTCTTTTTTGAAGTACTTACAGAGCTTTACCCTCCCGGTAGAATCTTTTACGAATGCATCAACATGGCCTTATCCTGCATGTGTTAGGATGCAGAGAGAGGAGGACACTGAACGGTATGAGATGGGGTACCTAAAAATAATTGAAAGCAGAAAACCACGGCAGGCATTTGGCAATAACGTAAGATCAAAGAGCTGTCTGCAGCCATTCTTCAAACAGCTCTTTCATCCTGACGTGTCTGGTGCCTGATGGTGCCTTCCTGTGCATCAGCAGCTTCCATCAACCTGCACCACGAAATCAGCAACACTTCCACTGTCCAGGGAGGAGGGGAGCACTAGCCAGAATACAACTGTGATGCAGGGATTCAAAAAGGAAGGGCCTCTCTCAGAAAACACTAGTCTTTGCGCCTTTAGCTGAATAAAGCGGCAGAGATTGAAAACAGACATATTTAAATCAAATTGTCTATAGAGAACAGACTGAGGGTGGCCAGAGGGGAGGTGGGCGGGGGGATGGATTAAATGGGTGATGGGGATTAAAGAAGGGCACTGGTTTGACGAGCACTGCTGTTGTATGTAAGTGATGAATCACTAAATTCTACACCTGACACTTCCATCTATTCTGCAAGAAATGGCTCTTTGTGAGAACAAGATTTTTTCCCCCGCATGTTCCGTCCATGAAAGCTTTACCTCCAAGCCATGAGGCGAGATCTTCAGGTACTCGCTGACATCGTTGCTATTCAGCATGGCCCTAATGCTATTCAGGTCCACTTTCTCATAGGTCAGCTGCCTACTGTCTTTTAAAACTGCAACAGAAAAAGTGGTCATGTCTCTAAGGCAGGCTGTTGTGGAAAAAAAGCTAGTGTCTTCGCTGGCTGCCATTCTGGTTAAGATGTGGGGGTGCTCAGAAATGGCAGGATAGGTAGGGAGACTTAAAACCTTGCCATTCCGCTGCACAACCATATGAGGATCAATCAAGCCAAAGCTGGGACAAGCTGGGACGGCACTGCTAGGTTTAGGCTTCTGTTCCCTATATTTGTTATCATGCATGCAATAAAAGCCAAATTATACCTTTTTGGAATGATTCTATCTTTTTCTTTCTTTTTTTTTTAAAGATTTTATTTATTTATTTGACAGAGACACAGCGAGAGAGGGAACACAAGCAGAAGGAGTGGGAGAGGGAGAAGCAGGCTTCCCGCCGAGCAGGGAGCCCGATGCGGGGCTC